GATATTTAGCTGGAAGATTTAATTGCCACAAGCCTTTTGGTTGACAGCTGTGTCTTTCCAACAAAGACGGATGGACTTTCCATTCCAACCAGCCACCCCACTGGCCACCTGTGCCAAGATACTTTGACCCCCCACTCCAGGGCAGGGCAGTGCTATTGAACCTGTGGTAGCAGGAGTTGTTAAGGCTTTGCCCTGAGGCCACTTTGTAAACATCTTGGTAATGGACCTCCTCCCCCTTCCCTGCTAGCTCTCCCTCTAGCCTGATGGTTAGAATAAATTTTTCCTTTTTTTGCCACCCCAGAGGCTCTATTGTTTGCATTTGTGGTGCAGAACCAGAGAGAGGCTCTGACCCAGTGACAGTTTAGACCCTGTGCCCTGTGCCAAGAGCCCAGTGTAGGGCTGGGCGCCATTTGAGGAGGATTCTGGTTCTGGGAACCCAGTTGGGGTAGAGGAGGTGGTATGCATGGATTTCGTCCACTTGGGCCATGGACTCCTCTCCTTGCTGTGAGGGCTTGCCAGAGTGGTGTATCCTGTCAAGTTCCGGTCTGGGGCTGGGGTCACGCTGGACTTAGTCAAAGGGGGCTTCTGCCCGGACACCTCACTCCTGCCCCTCCTGTGCTTTGTGACTTCAGTGGCCTTGCAACTGTCACTTATTTGCCAGTGAGAAGTGTTGGGTCTGCCCTGGCACGGGAAGGTTTCCTTCTGAAAACTTCGTAAGATAGGAGTGAAGTAAAAACGTTTTCATGGATTTCGTTTGCTCAACATCCCACATATTTTCTAGACTAAAGGGCAAAAACTTGGTTTCAAATGTTCTTCATCCACTCAACATGGTTCTTTTGTGTTTTTGTTTTTTTCCTGAGCCCCTACCAGGTGTGAGGTGCTGGGTAGGGATCAAAATACAGCTCTTGCCTTCATGAGTCTTAGTGTATCTGGGAGGTTAAACACTTTCTCTGTGAACAGCACTCCAGATTTCTCTGTGGTATGGCTCTGGTGACTGCCAAGCTGATCTTCTGCATCACTGCTCTTTCTGGGAAGTGGGGTTGAGATGGGCATGTGGAGTGGGCATTGCTTCAGTGTTTGTGACTGGTCTCCTTTCTCAGCGACAAGGTCTTTACCAGGATTCATTCAACTTTTCTTGGTTTACCATTAGGTTACTGCAACGTTGTGATTTGTAAGAGATATAGTTCGTCATTCAGTGAACTGAAATATACTTTTCTTAAGTGTAGATGAAAATATATATTTGTTTTTCAAGTTTGATCTTTGTTCACAGCTCAGGCTCACAGTTCTTGGGATTTTCTGAAATGTTGAGAGTGGTAAAGTTATGTCTTCTTGCTATGTCGATGAGGTGACTTAGGAAAACATCTATTGTGCTGATTGCCAGCGGAGGGGGCTGAAGGTTGAAAAGGTCCCCAAGGGCCAGTAAGTTAACCAGCCTCCTATGTGATGAAGCTCCCTAAAACCCCAAAAGACTGGACCTGGAGAGCTTGGGTCAGTGCTCTCCAGGAAGTGCTGGATTAAACCGGTGATCTAGTAAGTCAAATGTTTCTCTGAGTTCCGTGAACCACTCTAACAATAAGTCAGAGCTTAGGAGGAGTTGGTGGGAACCTGCCATGCAGCCAGCTGGTCAGAAGCAGAGGTGAGCACCTGGGCTTGCAGCTGGTGCCTCTGGTGTATGTGTGTGTGTGTGTGTGTGTGTGTGAGGGAGCAGTCTTGTGCTGAACCCTAAACCTGTGGAAGCTGATGCTCTGTCCAGGTGGATGTGGATGGAGTGGAATCCTGTACCTCGGCTGATGTTGCTTGGTGTTGCGCAGGAAGTTACCTCCAACGCTGCCACTTGAACGTGGGTCCAGACGAGTGACTGGTATTTTGCTGCACACAGCATGCCTTTGTCCACCCTCTGTCTTTTCTTACTCCTCTTCACTTTCCCCAGTGCCCTCAAGCCCCGAGCTCCTGATGCAGGGTGAACCGGAGAGAGCAGCTTGCCTCTCTGCACACAGCTCCCAGTCCAGGGAGGGACAGCAGCCTCAGTCACTGTTCTCTTGTGTCAACTGCAGCTAGTGAGTGTGACCCTTTGCCTCTTGGGGTAACAAGGAAATAGTTGGCCTGCAGAAGAATTGATGAGCTAGACTAGAACAAGGACAGATGAGGGCCCGTTCAGGAGCTGATGTGGGGCCCAGTTTCCAGGCCTGGAGGCTCTTCCTTGGCTTCAGGGAGTTGCCCCAAGCCTTTCCCCTGAACTCTGTGTTTGCTTTGTCCATTCACAAGTGGGTTTCTGAGTTTTTTTTTTTTAATATTTATTTATTTATGCATACAAAACTGGGGTACAGGCCAGAGGTGCAGGCCGGGGAGAAGATTCACCAGAGACAGAGTGGGGAGCAGAATAGGCAAATGGACAAAGTACACTGCTGAGGGGAGCAGCAGCCGGGACAGGAGAGGTCTGCGGCGCCATGTGGGTCACTCCAGAGCGGGGATCGGACTTGCACTGGCTTCGCAGTGCAGTGCTCCAACCCTCTGCACCACCAGGGAGGGCCTGGGTTTCTGAGTTTTTAATTGACAGCTGAGAGCTCTAACAGATAAAGGGAACAACAATTTCTTCGCTCATTCCCTTAGCGAATTTTGCGAACTTTGGCTTCTCGCCTCAACCTCTTTTCTTTCCTTCAAGGAACTTTTTCTTCTAGTTCACACGGAAAGTGAAGTTGTCAGATGATGATAATAAATTGTCTTCTCCCTTCACTATAAAATGGTACGGACACCAGCACTTACTGAGCCTTTTGCTCCTGGAGGACAAGCACAATCTCCTTCCAGCTCAGGGCCTTCCTTTTCCATTGCAAATAGGTCTTTGCAGGAAGCAACAAGGAAATGCCATGCGCTCCAGAAAGGGAGTTAACATCAAAAATGGATAATGGGATGGAGGCTGTGTGGACCCCTCTATCCCATCTGAGATGAGAACTGACTGAGCGGGAATCTGGGGTTCTGCTACCACCCGGTACAATGTTCTTATGAGACAGAAGTCTCATAAGAGACTTCTGTAAGTCAAAATGACAGAAGTAAAGAAACAGTTACATGGGACATCCTGGGCTCCTGCTTTCATTTTCAGATGCTGGAACGAGAGAACATGAGCGGCCCCCAGGTTTGTAGTTACTCACCAGTGTGGGGGGCACAGAGCTGATGGAACATTGGTCTGGATGTGAAGAGGGGTTTTTGGACAAAGTGGGTACAAGGCTTGGCTCCCGCTGCACTCTGTGGGTCACAGCGAAGACAGCATCCTCAGTGGTGCGCAAGCTGGAGTCAGAGGGCTGTGTGGTCACGCTGTTGGCTGGGCTAGGAAGATTCTGACAGAACCAAATGCCACGAAGGGAAAAGCCATGAGTTCGAAACCTTGCTCCACAGAGAGCTGCTGCTTTTTGCTTCGATGCTGCTACGCAGATGCTAGGACAGCCCCCCGCCCCCCAACTGGGCACCTCTCGACAGTCAGAGTGCTGGCGAATCAGCTCCACCGAGTCATTCTACACTAGTCTGGGAGTTGCAAACAGGAAGTGCCGGCAATTTTTCTTCCATCAAGTAGACATCTACTGGTTATCATCTTTTTTTTTTTTTTTTTTTTTTGCTGGAAAGATGATCTGAACTGTCTATGTCTTCTGTAGTTTCTGTTGCAAGCAGAGAGTTTCATGTACTTTCTCCCTCAGGTTAGGCTCCTGCTGCCTAGATTTCCTGAATCTCTACCTGCATTGCTGCAGGACTCAGGAGACACCAGCTAGTAGGGCTGGTTAAGAGGCATCACCCTTTGTGGCATTTTCACACAGACCATGGGGATGGCCACTTCCCTGTCCTTCTTGCTCTGGTTCGCAACAGGCTCTATGGTATCAGCTTCATTCTTTCAAACTCTGGACTTCCTGAAGGCTGACTCCAGACACTGGATCCTCACACTCCAGGATACTCAAATCCATTTCTTGGTGGTTTGATCTTTAACTCTCCAGTTTTTAGTGCATTACATTTCAGGCACAGCAAGAGATTCAAGGGAGTGTTGATGAGTTGAAGGATGGGTATGGTCAAAATATGAGAGCTGGAGCAGTAGAACTTCAATACGTAAAAATACAGAAAGCGATGAGTTACCAGTGTGACAGGATCTAGGGGGCAGTTGTGTGTGTGAGCCGAGAGTCCTCAGTTTCCTGGTGAACGCCACCTCACTCATCAGATGCTAGTTTAAACAGCACCTAAAAAGAAACTTCCTTTGACTGGATTCGCCCTCCCTGCAGGACCCCTTCATAGGAATCTCTCATGGCTGATTGTGTTTTTCTTCATGTCTTTTCTATATATGTTGCTTAAAAATTACATATACAACTCAATATTTGCATGTATATAGTTTTAATATTGTCTTTTACCACCAGCTGGACTATAGCCTCCAGCAGCCCAGGGGCAGAATCTGTCCTTAGCACCCCCACATTCACCTGGGAATTCCTATACTACTGGTCCTCATTTTTTGCTGGTTTGATCATTACTCTTGTATTTTAAGTCTCCTGTGTTTCCCTAAAGTCACAAGCTTGACCAGAAGGAAGGACCATGCCTGATTACACCAGAGACTTGGTTCCAGGCACCAAAGTGTAACTGATCCCTTTGGGACCTCACAGTCTGAACTGATGAGCCAGGATCACTGGCAGAGAGAAACCACTCATGCTTTGTGATGGGACTTTTCTACCCCTGCCTCCCCATGTGTCTAGTTTTCAGAGACCTAAGGAAACATGATTTCGTCAATGGCCATGTCACTCATATAAGGAGATAATTGAAGATTCAGAATCTCATTGGTGTTTGAGCTTCAGAAAGTGGCAGATGAGAGCCCGATAGCATCTGAAATGGTAAAAGGTGTCTCTATTGGCTCTCGTGGGACGATGTCAGGTGGTGTGTACAGTCCCCTCCCATTGCTGAAGGCCTTTGCCAGTCTCCTGCCGCCTGTTCGCAGGGTTAGTTCACAGCTGGGCCGTGACCTTGATGACAGAGTCGGGATGGCGTTGCTGGGACATCTCTTTCTTCAGGGACTCTGCTTTCTCCACCTCAGTGCCGTGGTGGGGGCTCAAGGTGAGAACTGCCTCTTTCCTGGGGTCAAGAGTGAGTGAGTGAGTGGACACAGCGGGCAGGGCCAGGCCAGCACTCCGTCCTGGAGTGTGGAGTCAGCGTCGGTGTGGAACATCTGCTTTTGACCAACGGGATCCACACTGACTGTGAACATTGGCTCTGCTGTGGGGTGTCAATTGGTCAGAGCCACAGATTTTGCAAAGAAGTTTCTTGTCCAGAGTGAGATGAGTCAGTTTGGGTCCTCTCCATTGTCACACTTGTTGTGGGGGTGTCTGCTTAGTCCTAGAGGCCTCGAGCTCCTGGGAAGGGGCAGTGATTCACCTCAGCTGGGCCTGGGGCTGTACTTCGTGTGTGTGTTGGGGGAGGCTGGGGAGATTTCTGTGTCTTACGCTCCTTCAGGCACTGGGCTTGTGTGTGTCATGGATGTGAGGGGTATGTGAGGAGGGTGCGAAACTCCAAGAGGAACAGGGCTGGGAGTCAGTTGGCCTGTGAAACGCACAGCCCACACTGTTGGAGGGCATGTCAGCCGTGTGAGCCAGATCGTAGATAACCTTGCACCTGTCTCTGGTTCCTCTCCTTCACTCCGTGGTTACCTCTTCTTAACTGTGGGGCTCACCCAGTGCTGGGCTCTGTGAGAGGCCTGGCTCCTGCCTCACCTACTCTGCTAGGTGTCTAGAGCCTGCAGGCACAGAGATGAACTGATGATGGGCAGCTTCTGCGGTCATTTCTCAAGTCCTGCCCAGACAGATGGATTTCTCGCTGGGGTCCTGGCTGGTCCTGGCCACCTCTCTAGGGCGGATAGTTAATGCTAGGACACATTTTCTCTCTCATGCACCCTTCTGTGTGGCCCTGCAGGCTGCTTCCCCGGAGTCTTTGACTTGGGACTGCAGGCATGAGGGACAGGACTGCAGACAAACCAGCCTTCAGCCTGGAGATGGCCAGACTTGGGCACTGGTCCGGGTGAGGCTGGCAAGGCTCCGGCTCCTCTCAGTGCCCATGCTCATCATCTGTAGTGCAGTCTCTTAGTCCCATAACTCTCCTGGGCAAAGCTCTCCCTCCTAGCTCCTGCTCCTGGAGTCCTGCCCATGTGCTTGTGAAGATTCTTCTCTCTACTTGAATCTCTGAAGTGCAGAGACTTTTTTGTTTAATTAATGAAGTACCATTATTTCACAGCTTTGTTAATATTTTGACAGTATAGGACTTTTCCCCTAAGGGGTGGCCCCTGTACCTCCCCCACCACCAAAGCACCCATCTTTCCCACAGTCAGTTTCAGTTATGCTCCCCCAACTCCGGGTCTCCTTTCCCTCCCTCTCCTCAGAGCTGGGTTTTGGTCCCAGGAAGGGGAGAGGACTATGAGTATTTTCATATCAGGCCCCATCTCTTATTAGGTAAACTGGGAATTCTCCTCAGCTGTTAATGAAGAAGGAAGAGCTTTGGGCCAAAGTGCACATGTTCTTTTCATTTTTCCTGAAACAGCACCATTCAGTGTTATCCTACCACAAATGTATTCTTCTACTTCATACAACCAATGTTGTATGTAAAACAATGTCCCTGGCCTTTCTGGGCATTGATGACTTCTGAGCTGGACACGCATTATGGGAGTCTCCACTGTGAAATCCATGGTGACCATTGGCAAAGGCTGTCCCAACTGGTGTGCCTGGAGCTGGTCCTACAGGTTTGCCAGAAATAATCGTGTGCTTCTTTCCCCAATTCTATGTTCAGTGGTGCCACATTGGCAGCTTAAAATTGACCACAGTGGGAATATTTATACCTCACATCAACAAGCACGATACATCAGGGATTACTACTGTCATTCTTTACCTCAGAGAACTTATCTTTAATACTTTGTAGCACACCCCTGTGTGGCCTTCTAGAATCTCCCCTGTGACCTGTGTTTGTATCTGCATCTCTCTTGCAGCTCTGGAGCTCAGGCTGGTGAATGGAGGGCACCACTGTGAGGGGAGAGTGGAAATGAAGTACCAAGGAACATGGAGCACACTGCTCGATGAGTACTGGCGCTTGGAGGAAGCCACTGTGGTCTGCAGACAGCTGGGCTGTGGAGCTGCTGTTAGTGCCCTTAAAGGGGCTCCATTTGGTCCAGGTCATGGACTGGTTTGGTATGGCTATCTCCACTGCTCAGGGACAGAGTTGACTCTCAATGGCTGTTCTCATTCTAAATTTCAAGACTATCGTAATAAAGCTTCCCATTCCAGGGATGCTGGAGTAGTTTGCTCAGGTAAGACTTGCTTAGTCTGGCAGGGAATCACCAGCTGGAAAAGTCTCAGTCTCATTGCCACAATAACTAAAAATATAAGGACAGACTAGAGTCACATGACTCCTAGAGCAGTAGGTGCTCAAGGGAGTGTAAGGGTGTGCATGGCCATACAAGAAATGCTCCAGACCTGTGGGTCTCAGCCCTCCAGGTCTCTGTGGTATGTCAAATGAGGTGAAAGTGCAGGTCCACCTGCTAGTTATATTTGTGAAATCAGCGCATCATGTTAGCTGTTTTATGCCTTTCATGAAATAGTCACAAGAAAGGATACAGGAGAAAACAGGTTAATAGACTCACAGGTCCCAGGATAGTCACCGTGTGCCATAAAGGGGCCACATTGGCTGCACGCAGGGAGCAGGTGAGAAGCCAAGAGAGTAAAATCTTTTGGGACATTTCAATACATACATTTAACGTAATTATTGATATATTTGGGGTTAAGTATATTAGCTTCCCCATTTGTGTATGCTTTATTTGTTCCTATTTTAATTTTTAACTGAGTATTTTTATTCTATTTTAGTTGCTCTCTTATCTTATTAGTGATACTATTTACCTTTAGAGTTTACCGTATTTGACCATCAAATGTTTCTGTTCTGAAGGAGAAGGAAGATTCTTCATGGGCTATGAGATGTAACAGACAGGGAAGCTTGGCCTCTACCATTCATAGGCACATTTACTGGAAAAGCAACATCTAGAGTCTTCTGAAAGCCTGTCTTCAGTGATGAATGAAGTAAATCACATTTTACAATCAGATGATATATTTCTTAACATACGAGATCTTACCATAGTAAAACTCAATTCCCTGTTCTTGTCATTTGTGCTATTGCCATATACTTATAAATACATCTTACAATGAATTAATTTTAATTTTTGCTTTAATATTCCATTATTTTAAAAATGAGAAAAAGGGTTTTTTTGGGTAATTTTCTTATGGATTTATCATTTACAGCAGTCTATATTTTTGGTAGATAATTTTTTTTTATCTTTTATCATTTTCTATAACTTGAAGAAATTTGGTAAAGAAAATTTTTGTGTAGCAGCATGGGAATCTCAAATTCTATCATCTTTTAGCTATTATTCATGTTCATTCAGTCTTGAAATGTAATTTCACAGGTGACTAAAATTCTAGGTTGGCTGTTTCCCCTAGTATTTTAAAAATAGCTATCCATTCTCTGGCAAGCACTGTATCTACCGAGGAACCAGTAGCACTTTCCTCTTGGAGTAGGGGTTTAACTTATTTCCCCTGTTTTATGATTTTTTTCTTTACCACTGGGTTCCAACAATATCAAGTGTTTTGAGGTTTTTTCCTTATATTTTTCTTGTTTGGAATTTATTTAGTTTGTTGGATCAGTATGTTTATAGTTTTCATTTAATTAGGAAAAGTCAAACTTTCTTCAATTTTATTTTCAACTCCTCTTTTATTCAGAACCTCTAATGACAAATATTAAAAAAATCTGTTTTTTAAAAAAATTATTTTTTAAAGATTTATTTATTTATGCATATAGAACTGGGGTACAGGCCAGAGGTGCAGGGGGTGAGAGGATTCACCAGAGACAGAGTGGGGAGCAGAACAGGCAGATCCACTGAAACACACTATGAGGAGAGCTGTGGGCAGGTCAGGAGAGATCTGCTGCGCCATGTGGATCAGCTCCCTGGCCAAGAATTGAACTCATGCTGCAGTGGCTGCGGGCAGCTTCATATTACTGTACCACCAGGGAAGGCCCACTGTTTTTTAAAAAAAATTTAAAAGATATTCTATATAGTAATTGGTGTAGTTCCCATAGTTTTTGTACCACATCACCTGTGAACCATCAACTTTGTGTTCTTTCCTCCCCTGTTTTGACTTTCCTCCTTCCCCCTCTCACTCTCTCCTCTTTGTATGTCTCAGAGCCATGGTCAGCTTGCAAATTATTTTTAATGTCTCTTTTTGATTGCCTCATTATTCCAAGGTCTTCCAGAAATATGGGGTTCAATTTCCTTGAAATGAGAGGGGTCCTTGCTTTCTTTTCATGATTGATTTCTGGCTTGATGTCTTATGGTTAGAAAAGATAGTTGGGATGATTCTGATCTTAATGTCTGTTGATATTTGTCACAGTATGTGGTTGATCCTGGAGAATGATCCATGTGCACTTGCGAAAAGTGTATATTTGGATATTTTGGATACAATGTCCTAGAAATGTTTGTTAGACCCATATGATCTAGCAATTTATTTAGGAGTATTGTATCTTTGTTTATTATTTTTTTCATTGATCTGTCCCTTGGTGAGAGTGGGGTATTGAAGTCCTTCCTAAATGTGTATTTTCCCTTATGTCTGTTTTCAGAGACAATAGTAATTATCCAATGTATTTTGGTGCTCCATCATTTGGTGAGTATATACTGTTGCAGGTTATGTCTTCCTGGTGTAGTGTCCCCTTGATGGTTATTTAATGACTATCTGTGTTTCTTGTTACCTTCTTTAGTTTGAAGTCTGTTTTATCTGCTATGAGTGTGGCTGTTCCTACCTTCTTTGGGGGTCCATTTGCTTATAGAGTTATTTTCCAACCCTTTACTTTCAATCTATGCTTATCTTTTGCAATTAAGTGTGTTTCCTGGAGACAGCAGAAGGTTGAATTCTGTTTTCTAATCCAACATGCTATTCTTTTGATTGGTGAGTTTAGCCCATTAACATTGAGGGTGATTAATGATACATGAAAGTTTGTTTTTGTCTTTTTGTTCATCATTTTATGGTTCTAGTCAATATATTTTTCAGTTCTTTCTGTTCATTTCTCTGTTGGCTTAGATTTTAAGACTTCTAGTATTTCTCAGAGTGGGTTTTTTTTAAAAAAGATTTTATTTATGCATTCAGAACTGGGGTACAGGCCAGAGTTGCAGGGGTGGCGATAGGCTTCACCAGAGACAGAGTGGGGAGCAGAACAGACAGATCAACGAAGTACACTGCTGAGGGAAGCAGCGGGTGGTTCAGGAGAGGTCTGCCCTGCCATGTGGGTCACCTCCAGGGCAGGGATTGAACTCGTGCTGAAGTGGCTATAGCTTCTAAGTGCTGTGCTTTAACTCGCTGCACCACCAGGGAGGGCCCAGAGTGGGGTTTTAGTAATAGTATTTCTGGAGATTTTTTTTTTTTTTTGGTCTGAGAACATCCTTATTTTTCCCTCAAAAAGGAAGGAGAGCTTTGCAAGATAAAATGTTCTTTGCTGGCATTTCATGTGTTGGAGTTTTAAAAAAAATATACTAACTCCATTCTCTTCCTGCCCATAGTTTCTTCAGAGATGTCTGATGTCAGCCTAATTGGTTTTCATTTATAGGTCATCTAATTCTTCCCCCTCATCAGCTTCATTATTTTTCTTTGTTTCGGACTCTTGCAAGCTTTACTATTATGTATCCTGCTGTATTTCCCTTTCATTATGGTAATTTGGTGTTCTTCTAACTTCTTGTATGTCTATTTCCATTTGCTTCTTGGGAAGTTCCTTCAGTTATTTCCTTGAATAATTTCTCAATTCCTTTGTCTCTTCTTTCTCCTCCTAGAATTCCTATAACTCTTATAGTTTCTTTTTTTTATTTTAAAGATTTATTTATTTATTCATACAAGAACTGGGGTACAGGCCAGAGGTGCAGGGGTGAGAGGATTCACCAGACAGAGCAGGCAGCAGAACAGGCAGATTGACAAAGTACACTGCTGAAGGGGGCAGCCAGTGGGTCAGGAGAGGTCTGAACCTCCCTGAATAGGGATCGAACTTGTGCTGCAGTGGCTGCGACTAGCTTCGTAGTGCTGCGCTTTAACCCATTGTGCCACCAGGGAGGGCCCAATCTTATAGTTTCTTTTCTTATGTGTCAAGTCATTCCTGAAGTGTTTTTTCATACCTCTCTTTCCTTTTCTCTTTTGTTTCTTTTTATATTTATATTGTCCAGTGTAGCGATTCATTCTTCCATTTGTTCTATTTTGCTTTCATGGCTTTCCCCAGCATTGTTTAACTCATCCATTTATCTTTTAGCATCCTGCAGCTCCTTATGTTTCTTATTTAAAGACAATCTTGTTCTTTTAAAGACAATCTTGTTCTTTTGATTGTTGATTATATTTTCTCATATCATTATTTTCCTGTTCTGCATCTTCTCCTTTATCTGTAAGCATTTAATTATGGCAATTTTGAATTTTTTATCTGTCAGGTAGTGAAATTCTTTCATGTTAGTGTTGTTGGGTTGTGGAGGTAGATTTTCTTTCTGTGGTATATTGTTCCCAGGAATTCTTGCTTGATCATTTCTATCCTCTTTCTCCCCATTGTTCAGTTTTAGTTAATTCTAGGCATAGGGCCTAGGGCCACTGGACAGCTAGTGCTGCAGGGAATGATTTCTGGGCATTTTTACTGGGCATGGATGGATCTGCCCAGGGTCTGAGAAGCTGTGACTTGTGGGCAAGGATGGGGGCAGAGGCTTCTCCTGGCTACCACCTTGGCTCCTACCTCAGTTCTTGTCCACCTCAAATTTCATAATTTTTCATTCTGTTTCTTTGAAGAATGCCATAATATGGATCGTAGTATAGTACATTACCTAAGGCAGGATAGTTGTTAGCAATGTTAATTCTTCCAATCCAGGGGAACAAATATTTTGCCAATTCTTAGTGTACTGGAGTGGGGTTTTACTTAATGGAGTACTTGGAGAATTTCTTTATGTAATAACTTATAATTTTTAGTGTAAAAGTCTTTTATTTCCTTTTAAAAATTATTTATTTAAGTATACAAGAACTAGGGGATAGACCAGAGGTGAGGGGAGTGAGAAGATTCACCAGAGACAGAGTGGGGAGCAGAACAGGCAGATCGAGGACTTAAACTGCTGAGGGGGAGTAGTGGGCGGATCTAGAGAGGTGTGCTGCACCATGTGGTCAGCTTCCTGGCTGGCCAGGGCTAGAACTTCCTGCTTCAGTGGCTGTGGATAGCTTCTTAGTGCTTTGTTTAACCCATGCTTTGTTTAACCCACTGCACCACCAGGTGGGGCCAAGTCTTTTATTTGTTTGGTGACAGTTATTCTAAGATATTTAATACCTTTTTATATGATTGTAATGGGATTATTTTCTTATTCCATTTGCTAGCTTATTATATGAATATAGAAATGCAACAGATTTTTGTATATTAATTCTTAGCCTACTAAACTTCTACTGTTACACAAGAACATAATTGGCTTTAATATTTCTAATACCTCATCCTTTCACATCTGCCTTTGATTTCATAAGTTCTTTATAATTTTCTTCCATTTAAATCTTAAAATCAAGTAGAAAATGGAAAGGAGTTACCAATAATTTGCTTCTGAAAGTTCTAGCTTGATGTGTATGAGAACTTTGTGGTTATTAAGCATACATTTGAGAATCTAATGCTTTTTTAAAGTTATTAAAACATTAAAGAAAAATATTTCCCTTCTGTTTTGAGTGTGCAACTTTTTAATTAATATAGAAACTAACAACTTGTTATGTGAAAACTGATTTAATTAGAATGAGTAGCCTGTGACCACCAGATTGGGGATCCTAACCTTAGCCTCTCTGGGGAGGTGGAAATAGATCAGAAGTAAAAGATAAGCAGTCAGTCAGCTCATCATTCACTCTTGTATGTGGACAAGCTTATTCTTTGATTCTTTAATATCTGTGGTGTCATCTCTGCTCTTTCTTGTTCTTAGTGGTAGATTTTTATTTTTATTTTTACAACATTATTCTGGACTCTGCTGCAGTCTTCATACTTATGCAGAGTACTTTACCAGTAAGGATTCTACCATGTACATTAATACTAACACACTCAGAAGTCAGGCAAGCAAGTACAAATTGTTCTTTATGACTTGGGGTTTTATTTTTGTTCTTTTTGAGTTACCTTTCATTTTATCCAAAATATAGTCCCTGAGTCACCAAATTATGGTCCAGAATTGTTTTTTTTGCCTCCATCTTTCAGTTTAAACTTCACCCACTCCTAAATTACCTACCATGCACCTACCACACACCATTATACAGATATTTCTTCCCTTTTTGATTCTTTTCTCCATCCACTTGTTAAAATTGAATCTCTTGTTTACAGTAAAGGAAATGAAAATGAGTTTCAAAATTAGTTGGTGGATAGGAGAAGTACAGGATTGATAAAACCTGTTCAAATTTTGTTTGACAATTATTTCCCCAAATATTTGTATCTTTTATCCATATGTAGGCTTGTGCAATCTCCAAGACTCTGAATGATGATCTGTTTGCTCTCCTTTTCTTCCTTCCTCTTACCTTTTTTACCACATGTTTCTTAGCTCAAGAACCCTACAGGAGAGGAATACACAGTTAACATAGTGATAGGATTAAAATATATAAATTGCTCCCATTTCTTAACATTTCCAGGTCTTGGAAAAAATAATCTATGTAAGAAAGAATCAGTAAATTTAGGTGTCTGATAAGCGCCCACTGAGCACTCACTCTCTTCCAGGTTCACTGACAAATCTTAGGGTTTCAACAGAGAATGTTAGGACTAGCTGTGCCTTCTATGACTCTGAATTTCTTAACACCTGAATTCATCTGTGCATAGATGAATCAGGTCATCTAAGAAATTCTTAGATTTCTCGCCATCCAAAGGTATCAAAAAATATGAAACCATAGAAGTGGACTATAACATCCCTACTTCCTCCTCGAGCCATCAGTCTGTCTGTCGACTGGCAGCACTCATGATACAGCACTTACAGTTTCCTCTGTCACTGGCCACTTGAGCACCAGCTCCTGAGACAACAGTGGCCAGAATCTAACCCAATAAATCTTAGACTGGCTTCATGCCTGGAGGACAGGTCTCTAGCCTCTTTAATGCCAAGTCTCATTTTAACTTTGGGTGGGCAAGTCTGAATGCCCACCACAGAGCAATGTCTTCAGGTCCTGTAGCTACCTGCCTCCTTGATCTGGCTCTGCAAATACTTCTGAGTATCTTTTAGAAAATTACTAATGAAAAAGTAATTTTAATGCTGTCAGATTCTTTCTTCATGCCCCATCCCTAGAAAAGAAAGGTATTCACACCATTGCCTGTACATGCTTTTCTGATGCCACTGACAGGTTATTTACACTCCCTTTTCCTTTCTCTAGGATTTGTGCGTCTGGCTGGAGGAGATGAGCCCTGCTCAGGGCAAGTGGAAGTGCATTCCAGAGGAGTCTGGACTCCAGTGTCTGATGGGAACTTCACATCGCTCACCGCCCAGGTCATCTGTGCAGAGCTGGGGTGTGGCAAGGCTGTGGCTGTCCTGGGGGGTGTACCCCTCAGAGAGTCGGATCGAGGGGTCTGGCCTGAGGAGTTCTGGTGTGAGGGGCAGGAGCAGAGGCTCTGGCTCTGCCCCAGGGTGCCCTGTGCAGGAGGCACCTGCCACCACCGCGGGGCTGTTCGCCTCGCCTGCTCAGGTGAGACCCGGGCAGGATTCACCCTCCCTGCTTACTTTGGGTTAAAACTTTGACTGAATCTCTGTCTCCTCCTCCAGTATACACCGAAGTCCGGCTCATGAACAGCGGCAGCTCTCGCTGTGAGGGGCGGGTGGAGATGCGTATTTCAGGGCGCTGGAGTGCGCTCTGCGCCTCCCACTGGAGTCTGGCCAATGCCCATGTTGTGTGTCGCCAGCTGGGCTGTGGGGTCGCCCTGTCCACCCC